TTCAATAAAAATAAATAAGTCATTTAAAAAAGAAGAAATGAGTGAACTGATGTCTCTCCCAGCCCCCACCCCCACCTTGCTCTTTCTCTTTTAGTTGTATCACCTCTGGAGGACACACTTTCATGTTGAGAATTTTCCACCTATCTCCCCAGGTCCTGCACGCTGCAGCAGGTGGATCTTTTGTGATGAGGCAGAATCCTCCCTTTTTATTCTTCAGGGTTTTGGGGGAGAATTTGGGGGGTGATATCCTCAAATTCTTCCAGGCACACATCCACAGCCCTGGGAATGGGGGCCCAGGCAATGGGGAGTGAGGAGCTGCAGCTTCCAACAGGCAAAGCTGGAAGACAAGGCTGAGGGGCTGGCCCAGGGCAAGCACCTCACTCAATGTGGGAGATTCAGGGTGCTCCAGGACTGATGGGGATCAAAGCCACCCACAAGTCATCAGAAGTGCCAGCACTGTTGGCTGGTGATGAGAGTTCAGGCACGGGGCTGTTCCGCTCAGAGTGGAGGTTCTAAGGACTGGAGGTGGGGGTGGGGCGTTGCCAGGAGCCCCTGGAGGGAGGAGGGGAGAGGCAAGAGAGCCTGGGAACCCAGAGGAAAGCCCAGCCCTGGGAGTCGGAGGGGGTGGCACTCATTGGTATTCTGGGCACCAAGGTGTCCCCGCTGCCAGGCAGAGCGCAAGGCCCACCCCCTGGCACCAGGCTACACATTCAGCAGCCCCGGTCCCTGGCCCCTGGCCCATATAGGCCCTCTGGGATCCCAGCAATGCTGGCTTTGCACGCTGGTTTGTGTGACCAGCAATGTCCCCTCACTGTGCCACCCACTCCCTCCACACTTCAGACCTCCGCCCCCCACCCCCAGGCCTGGAAACGGTCTTGACTTGTCCCGACTCTGCTGCCTAACCTCCACCCCTCCCGCTGCAAAGTCAGCTCCTCCCTCTGTGCAGGGAGTGCCAGCAGCACGGGGCGACAAAATCCAATCAGCGCTCCCTCCAGGAACTCGGCTTCAGTCATCTGCACCTCATCCCTGCCTCCTGAGAGAAGCTGCCCACTTTTATGGGGGAGGGGTATGCCCCTCTTTCCAGGAGCCCTTCATCATCTCCCCACCTCTCCCACCCCAAGCCTTGAGTCCCTTTCCTTTCCCCTTTAGCCAATGGGAAGTCCCACTGGCTGTCTAACCCTCATCCCTCCAGCTGTAACATCTTCCTTCAGCTCGGTAAGCGCTCTCTCTCCCCACCCCCTCTGCCCTTCCTCTTCACTCCAGGTTCTCAGCTCCTTATCCGCAGAAACGATGTCCTACTTCGCTTGTCCTTGCTCTTGCCGCTGCGGTCGAGAACCAACGCAGAAAAGGCTGTCTGTCCCGTGACCGTCCCGAGACCCCCGCTTTCCAGGCCGGGGAGGAGGGGAAGCAGGGGGGCGGCTCCGGGGAAAGGCGGGGCGGGGGCGGGGGTAAGAAAGGGGGTTTTGTGCTGCGCCCGGCGGGCCGGCGCCCTCTCCCGAGCGAGCGCGCTGCGGGGCGGGCCTCTCCTCGCGCCCGCGCGGAGTCCCCCGCCGCAGTCTCGGCTGCAGCTGCAGGGCCGAGCCGTGGACCCAGAGGATCCCAGCGCGAAGGGGGTGGTCAGCTTGGCAGTGCCGCCCCCGGCAGCCCCGACTCTCTCAGCAGGTGAGTGTCATCGCAGTCCGGACACCGGTCCCGGGAGGGAAGTGGGAGAAGGCAGCGTCCTCCCACCTCCTCCCCGGACGTCACTCCTGTGGCCGGTGCCCTCGACCTGGCAGTTTTCTGCTCCCAAGTACCCAGCCGGCTCGTTCCGGGACATCTTGGTGGGGTCCGTGGCCGTGGCCGGCAGCCACGAGTGTCCCCGCCCCCACCCCCAGCTCGTGCGGTCTCCCTTCTACAATGCCTCCAGCTGCGCCCTGGGCACCCCAACAGCGGCTTGTAGTGCCAGGGGCAGCCCTTCCAGAGGGAGAGAGGGTTAAGGGGAACATCCTTGGGCTTTCCGACCTTGTCCTGGACTAGGTTGTGGCATCCATGCCTGTCTGGGACTCCATGCCCTCTGCCTGCAGCCCCTTAGGGGTGCCTCCCTGGAGCCCACTCTGAAGCTAGAATCCCAACTTCATTCCTCACTTGCTGTGTGACCTTGGGCAGGTTAACTCCCTGCCCCTGGTATAAGGAGGAGATGCAGGTGGGGGTTATCCTTGGCGAGCTCAGCTGGGTAGTCAGGAACTGTGAACTGAACTCAATCCCACTCTTGCTGTCCCTCCTGGCACTGCCACGGGGCTGGGAATTCCTGTACAGGGATTCCCACGTCCCTTTTCACACCCCCCACAAAACAACTCTGCCCACATGGACTCACACATCAGCATCAGCCTCCACTATTGTCAGCACCACTCACATGGCACCATGCACAGGGTTACCCCCTGTCTGTGTTAAGGCCAGCTTGGCCACTGCCAACTGCACCATCCACCTTCCAGATTTTCTGCTAGGAGGCTCTGCAATAGCTCAGCTGGTGATGCTGCTTGCACTGTTATTAGCTGTGTGCCAATCAATAGGTCCTGTTCCTAGGCAATCGCAGAGGCTCCTGCAGGCCTGGAGTCCTTGCTGAGACTGTGTAGGTTCATGTGGCTCTTCACACTGCAGCTGCCAAGGGGAGAGCTGAGGGCGTCGCCCCTGCTGTGACCCGAGGCCTGGCCTCCTGGGCCTCTCTGCTGACCCTGCCTGGGACTGGAGTCTGGTTGCTATGGAAAGACCTTGGGTGCCCAGTTGGTGGGCACTGGACGTGAAGGGGAGGTGTGCTTGGCATCTGCACATAGGCACACACAGCCCTGGTTTCTGGGCTTGTAGGGAGCTGGGCGTCTGTGATCAGAGAACAGGGACAACACAGCCACAGCAAAGCTTCCTGAACAGTTTGAGAAACTCAAGGGCAGATGGCCAAAAGCTGGAGAGGAGGAAGAGTTGGGGAGAGAAAGGGATGGTCTGGCAGCAGGAGGTGGGATTGCAGCTGCAGCGCCCCCTCCTGGAGAGAAGGAGTGATATGTGTGGCCTAGAAAAAACAGTAGGCATGAGTACCCTAGTGAGAAGCAAGGCCTAGGGCAGGCAGGAGTGGGTACCTGAGATTCCTGGGGGTTCCAGCTCCATGAGGAAGGACTGAGGCTTGAGTTCAGGCAAGGTGAGCAGACAGCACTCTGTGCACTGCATGGGCCAGCCTTTGTGGTCAATCACCCCCATGCCAGCCTGCCCCACTTCGCTTGCCACACTCTCACTGTCTCACCTGAGACACGAGGTACAAGCAGTGGTTCAGGGTGTTGGCCCCAGAGTGCTTCCAACTATATGGGTTTCTGGGCCGCCTGGTAGAGCTGGGAGCTGGGTGTGTGAGCAGCTCCCAGGGAGAGAGAGAGGAGAGAGGAGAAGGGAGAAGGGAGGGTGCTGGGAAGGGAACCTGGCACAGTCCTGATGCAAGGCAAGCAGCACCCAGCGGGCACCAGCTGCTCACACCAGAGGGTCCACACTCCAGTGTCAGAAGCCACTCCCCCAGGCACTCCTGTGTGAGTTGGCTCTGGCCCCATCCAGGCCCCTTCTCCTCTTCCTCAAGGGTCAGAGAGGGGGTGGCGGGACAGCATGGCCTCAAGTTGTCATGGTGGGGTGGTGGGACAGCATGGCTGGGAGGCTCAGGGGGCCAGCTTGAGTGGGCAGAGTATGCCCAGCAAGGCTGGCATGGGAGCAGGAAGACCTATCTGTACCCTCATTCCTGCTCCTCCCTTGCTGGCCTGTTCCGTGGCTAACCCAGTCCTCCACATCCTCGTAAGGCTGGCCCAACCCTTCAGGGAGCTCTTGAACCCTTCGTCCTCTACCTGCCCTCCTGAAGAATACCCAGGCTTGTTGCTTTCCCCCTCCCCAAAACTGGGCTTTGAAGGGGCCACAGGATCAACCCTGTCCCTCTCTGAGCCTCAGTGTCTAATTCTCAATGTCACACCTCTCCCTTCTGTCGGGCGGGAGGGTCCTCTGGCTTCTAGAGCTGCCCATAGCTGGGGGCTAGGGGAGGGAGAGTGGTATGGCACTCCCACCCCTGTGAGCCACCCCTTTCCTGCCCTGGGCTCTCACAAAAGGTAGGGTGGTAGTGGGGGCGGGAGGCTGGAGGGAGGCCAGACTGGCAGAAACAGGGGCTTTGTCCCAGCTGGTGTTAGAGCCAGGAGATCCGGTGGGAAAGCCCGTGCCAGGCGGAAAGGCAAGGCTGGGAGGGAGAAAGGAGGAGGCAGCCAGGGAGAGGGGGCTGCAGGACGCTGGGAAGGAAGAAGCTAGGCTTCCTTCTAAGCATTGATGGGAAGGAGCCAAGAGAAAGGGAGGGTGTGGGGGGCATGGGCTTGCAAGAAGTTGTGTGTGCATTACTCAGCTTCAACCCAGGAGGCCTTCCTGGAGGAGGTAGGGTGGATATTGTGCCTGGGAAGGGGAGATTGGAGGAGGTACCATGGAATAAGGAGGGAGGGAGGCCTCCCCCACAACCTTCATAGTTTAAGGGTGAAGTCTGACTCTTGGAAGGGGCAAATGAAATTCTCAACACGATAGCACCCTCCACTCATGCTGAAAGCATTTATTAGGTGCCTACTATGTGTCTGGTGCTGTACATTTTAGTTGTTATTATTTTTAAATCTATCTATCTGTCTGTCATTGGTTGCTCTCAAAGCACATAGAAATAAGGATTTCTGCCTGGGAGGTGGCAGCAGTGGCACTCTTTGAGTTCTAAGAAAGCAGTGTGTTGTTGCCCAACAAGGGTGAGGTCCTTGCTGGGCCACACGGCAAGTTGACCAGGACCCAAATCTTGGCTCCCAGGAAGAACCCCTTGGCAAGGAAGTAAGAATCAGGAATGGAGAGTTCATCGTGACTGAGGGGCAGTGGGCTTCTGGGGCCAGCTTGTGTGTGAGCACACTCAGGATGGTGGGAAGCCAGAGGAAGTCCCTCTTGCAGTCTAACCTCATCTCTCCTCCTCAGGCCCCTTCATCAGGCTGTGGCATGGCCCCACTGCTTCTGCCCCTGCTGGCAGCGCTGGCCCTGACTCAGGTCCCTGCAGCTTTAGCTGATGTCCTGGAAAGGGACAGCTCAGGTAAGCAGTCTCACTCCCAGGGTTACTAACCCCAGCTCCTGCATGTCCCCAGTGGGAGGCTACCAGCCTGTCTTTTGTTCAGCCTATATCAAGGGCTTCCTTCCAGCATTGGGGACCTGGTCGGGAGCAATCCTGGATGAGCCAAGAGTGTCTGGGAGGGTGGGAATGCTGTGGACAGGGCCAGGGGAGGGGCACCAGCTGGGAGAGGGCCGGTGGTTGGGAGGAGGAGGATTGGAAGGACACTGGGAGGAGGTGGACTGGGCAGGAGGATCCAGGGGTTGAAGTTGGGGGAGGTTAGGGTTGGGCAAGGAATCTTGGGTACACCTGGGAGACCTGGGGAGTAGAATAAGGGGATCCCAGGGGTAGAACTGACAGAGAGACTTTGGAGTACAGGTCTGGGGATTTCCAGGATGGGCCTGGGGGTGTCACAGATAAGGTCACGGGATCCTAATGGAGACCTGGAAGATGCAGAGTGAGGCTGGGGAGCCCGCAGAATTGGGCTGCAGGTTGTGGAGAAGCAGCCTAGAGTGGTGCGGAGGGGCGACTCGGTGGCCCCTCGGAGCCCCGGTACCAACAGCCCGTTTATCTACCCACCTGCAGAAGACCGCGCCTTTCGTGTGCGCATTGCTGGCGCCTCACCGCTGCAGGGTGTGCTGGGCGGTGCCCTCACCATCCCGTGCCACGTTCATTACCTGCGGCCGCCGGGCCGCCGGGCTCCACCTGGCTCTCCGAGGGTCAAGTGGACCTTCCTATCTGGGGGCCGGGAGGCCGAGGTGCTGGTGGCTCGCGGTCTACGCGTCAAGGTGAGCGAGGCCTACAGGTTCCGTGTGGCGCTGCCCGCCTACCCCGCCTCCCTCACCGATGTCTCCCTGGTGCTGAGCGAGCTGCGGCCGAATGACTCGGGCATCTACCGCTGCGAGGTCCAGCATGGCATCGATGACAGCAGTGATGCTGTGGAGGTCAAGGTCAAAGGTGAGAGGGTGGGGACACAGGACGGGGCGGGGGAGGGGGGAACTTCTCAGTTGTGGGGGAGGGGGCTGAACCATGCACTGAGTTTGGAAAAGAAGTGAGGAGACATAGATATTAGTTACCTCCTCTCCTTTCAGGTGCAGGAAGTTCTACCTATGGTGTAACTTAAATCCCCTCATGCTATAAAACAAACACAATTGGGAATTTACCTTTTGTGTACAGGAGAGTGACAAGGAGGGGGGCTGGAGGGGCCAGGGTACCAGTGATATCCAGGCTCAGGAATTCTCTCTGTCACTCAGGGGTTGTCTTTCTCTACCGGGAGGGCTCTGCCCGCTATGCTTTCTCCTTTGCTGGGGCGCAGGAGGCCTGTGCCCGCATCGGAGCCCGAATCGCCACCCCAGAGCAGCTCTACGCTGCCTACCTTGGAGGCTATGAGCAGTGCGACGCTGGCTGGCTGGCAGACCAGACCGTGAGGTGGGCTGGGGTTTCCGGGCAATGGTGGGTGAGAGCGTTGTGGCTGCCGGTCCTGTCTGTCTGGCTGTCCACACAGGGCTGCTTCCTCTGCAGGATGAGCTTGGTCTAGAGGAGGTTATGGGAGGTCTCTGCCCTGGGAGGAGGGGGTTGTGTGTCCCAGCAGAGCCGAGGAACAGCCAGGATGGCCACAGTGCTGCACTATGATTTACTAGGGTCCCCTAGGGGACCTGTGCCAAGACTCTGTGCCCTCTCTGCAGGTACCCCATCCAGACCCCACGAGAAGCCTGTTATGGAGACATGGATGGCTTCCCTGGGGTCCGGAACTATGGAGTGGTGGACCCAGATGATCTCTATGATGTCTACTGTTACGCTGAGGACCTCAATGGTGAGGGGGCTGAGGGAGAATCAGAGGATGAGCTCCTTCTCTGTAAGTCCTCCAGGAGCCCCTGCTTGGCTTTATGGTCCCTTATGCATGGAGGGTACAGGCAGGGTGAAGAGGTGGCTGCCATCCCTCTGTCCAAGCACCATGATGGGCCAGCCTGTGTTCAAAGCCCCAAACAGGTGACAGGAAACAAGCTGGGGTCCTGCCCGCTGAACCTGCTCTGCAGAATGAGGTGATGGTGCTAATCACCTTGAACTCTGCTGTCCCTCTTAGGGTTCTATCCAGACTCGGACCCCACAATATGGGGTATTGGATCCTTTGTCACAGACAAGGAGAAGGATTGAGTCCCAAGGGTGCTCAGAGTGGAAAGGGACTACAAACCACTTGATAACCCAGCCTCCTTTTCCCCCTCCAGGAGAACTGTTCCTAGGTGCCCCTCCAGGCAAGCTGACATGGGAGGAGGCACGGGCGTACTGCCGGGAGCGGGGTGCCGAGATTGCCACCACGGGTCAGCTGTATGCAGCCTGGGATGGCGGCCTGGACCGCTGCAGCCCAGGCTGGCTGGCTGATGGCAGTGTGCGCTATCCCATTGTCACCCCCAGTCAGCGCTGTGGTGGGGGCCTGCCTGGCGTCAAGACCCTCTTCCTCTTCCCCAATCAGACTGGCTTCCCCAACAAGCACAGCCGCTTCAATGTCTACTGTTTCCGAGGTGAGACATACTGCAAAGAGGCAAGACATACAAACAGACACATACACACACACCCAAAGTCCCAGGTCAGCTGCTCTGAGGCAGTTGGCCTGAAGGAACCTTGGCTGGTGTCCAGCTCACTATGATTCTGGCCATGCCCCTGGCCCCTGGGCTCACTCAGCTGGGTGGCCTCAAGGACTGGTCACCTCTGTGTCTCTGTACCTGCCCTCTCCCCAGTCAACCGTGTCTTCTTCCCAGTTGCAAGACTGAAATACACACCCAAGCACCACCATGTCAAGCCCCATCTGACCTGACTGTCACAGAGTAGATGCAGTGAATGCCTTTTGAAGCCAATGAATTAATCAGTCAAGTTCATCCAGTTAACCAGCTCCATTCTCATGAGCACACGGAAGGTTTTCAGAACCTATGGCTTAAAGAAAGTGCCAGACTGTTATAAGCACCAAGTACAGATGGGAAGATACAACTCCCCTTACCCTGCTCCACCTGCTCACACACAGCAGGATCTCAAGGATAACTGGGTATAGAATTGCCTTCCTGCTCACACCTTTAATAGGAGCTATGGGGAAAGTATTGTCTGATGCCCCAAAGACATGGTGCCCAAGCCAAGGGTAGCTGACAGTTAGGGAGACACTCCCAAAGCTGGGGAGCAGGTCTGCATCTTGTCCAGCACAAGAAGAATGAGAAAAGACACAGGTTTGACTCTCAGGGAACCCCAGAGCCTGAAGAGGCAAGATGTGGTCTGGCAGGGAAAATGAAAGCCCACACTGCCAAGATGGGGAGAAACAGAGAACAGAGGAGCCCTCCTTCCAGCAGGGTCGATCTGGGAAGGTCTTTGGCCTGGGCCAGGAGATGTTGAGGTCCATAGGGAAATAGAGATGGGTCATCTGGAAAGATAAGCCCAGCATGACAACAAGAACAACAGTCCAACTTCTAGTTGTTGGGCATGATTCTGTGGCTCCTTCTGGGAAGGAGGAAGATGAGATCAGGAAAGGGGAGTGGGGAAGGTGGGAGTGGGGGAGAGAGAGAGAATGGCCATAGCTGAGAGCAGCTAGAGGCTGCCAGAGCCTAGGGCTGCTTGCCTGGTGTGGAGCAAGACTCACTGGAGCGAGAGAGGAGGGCAGGACGCACTGGCCAGTCCTGCCTGACTGAGCACACGTCAGACCTCAGGGTTTTCCCCTAGTCCGATTCTGGTGTTGCTTTGTTGGTGTTCTGTTCTTTCTCCCTTGTCCCTGGAGGATCCAAGGAGCCCTTCTAAACTGTGGCTAGTTGAAGGGCACAGATCGCAGATGGAGATTGCAGATTCCCTTTGTCTCCTGTCCCAACATGGTGTCCTCAGGTGATGACCACTGAGTCGTTCCTGCACTTGCCACTCCCGCAGTCCTGTGGGATGGCGTGTGTCCTCCTTCCCTTCCAAGAATCCTGGGACAATCAAGATCCCTTACAGCTAACCCCCAAGTTCAAGGGTGCTGAGGCACTTCTACTCACCATTCCACCTCCATTGCCCACTCCAGGGTACATCTGTTACTGGAGTCCTCCCTGACTAAGCTAATGCTTCACATCCATCTAACTCTGCATTTTCATCCTGTCTCTGTAGGTTAGACTAGGGTTAGGGGTAGGGTTTGTCTGGTATCTGTACCTAGAATAGAATCTCCCCTGGGGACATACTATGTCCTCAGTGCCCAAGAAGGCAGAAGGAATGAATGATGAAGTTCTGCAGTGACCCCTGGGCTCCAGAGGGTGCTCCTTAGGGGATATGGGAGAGAACTGAGTGAATCTCTGGGTCTCTGATCATCTCACTCACAGCAGCCTTTGCCTTCCATCCACACTCTTCTCCTGCCACAGACTCTGCCCAGCCCTCTGCCACACCTGGGGCCTCCAACCCAGCCTCTGATGGACTAGAGGCCATCGTCACGGTGACGGAAACCCTGGAGGAACTGCAGCTGCCTCAGGAGGCTGTGGAGAGCGAGTCCCGTGGAGCCATTTACTCCATTCCAATCCTGGAGGATGGAGCAGGTGGAAGCTCAACTCCAGAAGACCCAGCAGAGGCCCCTAGGACCCTTCTAGGTAACTCAAATCCCTTATCCCGGGGACTTCTCTCTACTGGGAGAAGTTGGAGGCAGAAGGGGCAATTCCAAGTTAATGCTCATGTCATGACTAGCAAATTTCTGTCATGTCCTTTACTCAGTGGCTACATGGTACAAGGCATAGCTCCTGTCCCTTTCCAACCTTTGCCTTTCCAGTAAATTCCACCCCTAACTCTCTGGGAGTGGAGATGCTTGGACCAAGGAGCTGCCTCTGAGAAAGTGAAGCCTCCCTTGTTTGGTTACCCCCCTCTGCCTCACTTTTCTATAACAGACTGGAGCATGAAGACTAGGAGAGGGGGATGGGACAGCCATGGTTTACTTATTTCATGCTGCTCACAGAACCTTCTCAAGTGTTGCCTCAACAGTGCAGCTCAAGTTGAAGTTCTTCCAGTGTGGAACAAAGACCATCTCCTCCTTGTACCCTGGATCCCACCCTCTCCAGTGCCCCCTGTCTCCCGTTGGCCTAGCATCTCCTGGGTGCTGTCCCTGGTGCTGAACTTTCTGTGTTTTGCCCAGAATTCGAAACCCAATCCATTGTACCGCCCATGGAATCCTCAGAAGAGGAGGGCAAGGCGTTGGAGAAAGAAGAGAAATACAAGGATGGAAAAGAGGAGGAAGAAGAGGAGGAGGAGATGGTGGAGGAGGAGGACCTGTGGGCATGGCCCAGTGAGCTCAGTGGTCCAGGCCCTGGGGCCTCTCTTCCTACTGAGCCAGCCCTGGAGGAGTCCCCCTCCCAGGCCATGCTGCCAGCAAGAACAACCCCACAGCCTCTTTCTGATGGAGATGCAGAAACTCCCAGGCCTCCAAGGATCCGAGGACCACCTACAGAGACCCTACCCACTCCCAGGGAGGGAAGACTAGCATCCCCAGCACCTGCCACTCCCCTTGGGGCCAGAGAGGTTGGGGAGGAGACCGGAGGTACTGAGTTATTTGGGGTCCCTCGTGGAGAGAGTGAAGAGCCAGGGAGCTCCGAGGAGACCCCCTCCTTGCTGCCAGCCACAAGGCCCCCCGAGGGTACCAGGGAGCTGGAGGCTCCCTCTGAAGAAAATTCTGGAAGAACTGACCCAGCAGGGACCTCAGTGCAGGCCCAGCCAGTGCTGCCCACTGACAGCGCCAGCCGAGGTGGAGTGGCCGTGGCCCCCTCATCAGGTAAATCTGCACAAGACTCAACCTGGCTCTTTATCCTCCTTTTGCTGCCTGCCCTGAGGCTCTGGGTCCCCTGACCTGTGGTCCTTCAGCCCCTATCACCCTAAACTCTTCTGTCTTTCACCTTCATTGTCTTACCCACTTGCCCCACCCATGGTCACCAGTCACGTGGGACCTCCACCCCAGTTCTCTGCTCATCCTGGGACCCCTATGAACTTCACCACTAACCACTGTGATCTTTGCCTGCCCGCAGGCCCTCTGCCTGTGGCTCCTAACACCCCAACCCCACAGAGTCTCCTGGGGTACTCCTGTTACCTTTGCACTCTTTGGGGCCAGACCCATCTTCCACTACCCCATTCCCCTTTCTGTGTGCCATTCCCTGTAGCAGCCTCCCATTGGTCTTGGGGAAACTCTGGGATCCCACCCACCCATCCCACCCTTCCCACCACTCCTCCACCTCTGAGGTCCAGGAGAGCCTGTACCCCTACAGAGCCTTAAGAGACTACTTCTGTGAAGTATTTTTTTGACTGTTTCATGGAAAACAAGCCTTGGAAATAAACCGCTATGAAACCTCTTTGTAACCAAACTCTGTCGCCCTCTCCAGCTGTCTGCCTCTCTCTTGCCACTGATCCGTGTCCTGAGTGACTCCTGGGTGCTGCTCTTTGATGCCTGGTCTATCCTGCTCTCCTTGTGTGTGTCCCTTCCTGTCTTCAGCCTGCACCCTCTCCTGTGCTTGCTAACAGCCCCTTGCTGTCCCCCCTTCCTTCTCCACACTGTCCTTCCTGGCCAATGAGACTCCAAGACTGACTGCATACATATCCCCCCTAGAGAAGCCAGTGTCCACAGGGGATATGGGAGTTATAGTTCCCCACCCCTCAACTGCGAGAAGCCCATGCAGCCTAGGACCCCCTGAGTGGATCATGGAGAGAAGTGCCCAGCCAAGAGACTGTTTCCTGACCCCCAAGTACCCTGACTACTCACCCAACTCACTTATCACAGTAGGAAGTGGTATCTAATGCGCCTCCTCTAACCCTGGTACTCGGAATCAACCCTTATCCCCAGGAAGAATGGTTCCACCCACTCCAGATGCATAGATTCTGATTCTGGTGAAGACTCAAATCAGAGGTGTGGGTGGGGGCATGGGGAATCTGGGGTCTGGGGTCTGAAGAATGCCCTCCCACCCTGTTTGTGGAAGGTTAAGTCTCGCCATGGAGACCTGTGGAGGAAGTTGGACTTCTTCTAGTCCCAGCACCATCCTCTCAGATGGCCTTAGGCTCACCGTCATCAGTGCTGGAATTTGGATCTGTGTGGGGGTGGGAAGGGGACGAGTGTGAGAAAGGACCCATGCAGAGATTGGCAGTGTCTTAGCTATCTGGCTGGAGGGTGAGTGTGAGCTCTCCGGCCTGTGCTTCCCACAGGGTTTTTGATTGTGTAGCGTAGAAGGGACGAGGAGCAGAGACAAGAAAGTTGTGAGAAGTTCCTTCATGAGCTCTGCCTATCCTGGATTCAGGCTCTGCAGCCCACAGCCACACAGAGGGATCAATGGTCTGGAGAGGGACCAGGCTCTAAGGCCGAAGGTTGGACAGGAAGGCACAGAGAAGACAACAGGCAGAGCGGGACAGCAGGAAGACTGGGATAGGGAGGAGTGGTCAGGTCTCCCATCTTCTTCTGTTGGGTCTGGCACTTAATGAGTTAAACAAAGTACCTCCTCCTTTGGGGGTGCATGGGGGGCAGTCCTACCAGTTGGGAAGCAACCATTGGCAGGGGAGCCAGCTCAAAAGCTGACTCATTTTATCTGAACCAGCCAGGTCATTCCAGCAGAATTTCTTGGATCAGTTCCAACGTCCCCTTCCCCCACCCCTGCTCTGTTCCCTCCCAGGCCAGCGTGAAGCACCATGGCCTTGGCTGCTGACAGCTGCCCCTGTTTTTGTGGGTCACCCTCCCTACCTCAGGTTTTCTGGATCAGAAAGGAGGGGCAACTGACAGCTCCTCCCATGCATGGGTGTGGCCTAAGGGAAGCCACCTCCCACTTCAGGCTCCACAGTGGCAGGTGGCCCAGCCAGATGGAACTGCATCCACCTGACAGATTGCAGGCCTTCAGGGTGGCATGCTAGTCTAGGAGGACTGCCTGCAGGAAAGGGAGTCAGGGAATCAAACAGATTTGGCTAGGGCAGATCCAAGAGGGAGGTGAACCACAGCCTGATAATGAGGGTAAGAGTCTGAGCTGAGAAGGGGATGCAAAAGGCCGGGTGCTGCTGGGAGGGGAGCAGCTGAAGCTACTGTGGGAGGAGGGGTTGGGCTCAGAATGGGTAAAGTGGGCTGGATCTCCTCTAATCACAAATACAGCTGGCTGCCCTGGCCCAGGGGACAGCAGGTAGCGCCTCAGGAGCAGAGAAAGGAGGCCACAGCAGCTGTTGCTAGGGTCATTGTCCCCTCCTGCAGGCCCAGCCCCATCCCTGTCTCTACTGCATAGAACTGTGCTGGTATCTGCCATAAAGACAAAGACTAGAAGACAGGGACCTGCTCCGGGTCACCCGAGAGAGCGAAGATCCCACTCAGGGTCCAGGATTCCTGAGTGACAGCTAGTGGTAGTGGTCCTGAGGGTCTCCCTGACAATTCCCCTCAGGCAGGCCCGGTTGCATAGGTGCCATGTGGAGAGCCTGACAGATGGCCTGTACAAGGCTAACGCCATGTGGAAGTAGGGTACAGGTGAGGAGGCAGGGGTGATAAGAGCACCCCAGAACTCGGGGCTAGGTTGTGACCGAAGGTAGACTCCAGTGACGACTCATGTTCAGGAAGGTCAAGGCTGGGCACCCTGGGGCTCCTCACATCCCATTGTGGGGTGGTGTCTCCCTGCTCCCCCCACCTCACTTCTTTCCCCCTCTCAGGTGACTGTGTCCCCAGCCCCTGCCACAATGGTGGGACGTGCTTGGAGGAGGAGGAGGGGGCCCGCTGCCTGTGTTTGCCTGGCTATGGGGGGGACCTGTGCGATGTTGGTGAGTGTGTTGGGGGAGGGAGGGACCTGAAGGCGAGGCCCCGCCTCCAAGTGCTAGTTCTGGGAGGGAAGGGAGGACACTGGTGGGTGAATCCCTGTTTTAGGCAACTTTCACGCTTCCTCTGGGTCCTCCCCTCAACTTCCCCCTTGCTAAGCCACGTGGAGATGTCTCTGCGGGGTCCCGGTGGGAGCGCAGCCGGGTGTGCTCTGGACGCTGTGGGGGCGCCAGCACCTGCTTTCCAGTCTTCAGGGAGAAGGGCGCGGTTCCTCTGTAGGGACCAGAAGGGAGTGCCAGCACGCATCGGGGCTCTGGGACTCAGTGAGGGCACCTGGTCCCTTTCCAGGCTCCTGCACCCCTACCCGACCCCCCGTTTCCCTGCCCTCTCCTCGGCTCCGCCCTGCTGCCCGGAGTCCCGCCCTTCCAGGTCGGAGGAGGGGTGGGTGGGAAGGGACACACAGTCCTTGGCCAGAGACCTGACCGGGCGGGGTTCTCGGGTCCTCCGGCCTGAGCTGCCCACCCCTTCTTGTGCCCCAGGACTCCGCTTGTGCAGCCCGGGCTGGGACGCCTTCCAGGGCGCCTGCTACAGGCACTTTTCCACGCGGCGGAGCTGGGAGGAGGCGGAGACGCAGTGCCGGATGTACGGCGCGCACCTGACCAGCATCAGCACCCCGGAGGAGCAGGACTTCATCAACAGTGGGCTGGGGAGCCGCGCCGTCCGCCCTCTCACGAGCTCGCTCATTAACTCATCGACTCCCTCCGTCCTTCACTCACTCAGTCGCACACTCATGACTCGGTTTCCCACATCCATTCTTCTGCTTTTCTATCCTCTTCCCTTCCTTCCCACTCGACACCTGGGGCTCGCGCAGGAAAGTGCACCTGCCCGGGTGGAGCGGCCTCCCGCCTTTCCAGACTTCCCTGGCCTCCTTCTCCTCCTCCCCTACCCTCTTCCTTCCCCTACCCCCTCCTCCCTCCCTTCCACCCCTCTCCTTCCTCTTCCTCCCATCCTCTTCCTCCTGCCTTCCCCGACTCAGACTTTTTGCAAGTTTTTTACTTTGTCCAGAGTCTCCCTCTTCCTTCTGGGGGCGGATGATTCTCGTCTCCTCCACCCCCTGCCACCATCTGGCCCAGTAGAAAGTCTGGGGATGAGGTGTGGGGAGGAGAGAATCAGAGCAGCCCATATTTTGCTTTTGGGCAAGGACTTCCCGGGGACGGGGAGTGACCGCCACCTGCTGGACGGCGGGGCTCACTGTACGCCTCTCCTCGTGGTGGTTAACAGATAGATACCGGGAGTACCAGTGGATCGGCCTCAACGACAGGACCCTCGAAGGCGATTTTCTGTGGTCAGATGGCGTCCCCCTGGTGAGAGGCTCCCCCTGCCCTGGTTGGCTGCCTCGAGGCACTTCCACCGCGATGGACCCCAACTCCCTCTGCTTCTGCTGGCCTTCTCCCCCAACCGGAGCCCCTCTGCTCCTGCCCCTGGAACCTTGCTCTGGTCCTGTGTGGCTCCCACTTTCGACCACAAGTCCCTCCCCAATCCCCAGACCCCTAGCCTGCTCTCTCTCCTGTGGCCGATCCCGTCCACCACTCCCTCCCCTCCCCAGTTCACCTCCCTAGGAATTCCTCACTACCTACCCACCCGCAGCTCTATGAGAACTGGAACCCTGGGCAGCCCGACAGCTACTTCCTGTCTGGTGAGAACTGCGTGGTCATGGTGTGGCACGACCAGGGACAGTGGAGCGATGTGCCCTGCAACTACCACCTGCCCTACACCTGCAGGATGGGGCTGGGTGAGGGCAGGCTGCGGTGGAGAGGGAGGTGATGACACTATTATGGGGGCTGTACCCAGCCAGGGGAAGGACCTCCGTCCCTTGGGTCCACTTGGAGTCCTGGATCCTGCTGTTAACCATCAGGACTCTGGGAGCTGATTTCCCATACCTCCCCGCCCCTCAGACAGGCTCCCTGTGGGTTCCTAACTGTGTTTCCACCCTGTAGTGTCCTGTGGACCCCCACCAGAGTTGCCCCTGGCTCAACTCTTTGGCCGCCCGCGGCTGCGCTATGAAGTGGACACAGTGCTTCGTTACCGGTGCCAGGAGGGGCTGGCACAGCGCAACTTGCCCCTGATTCGTTGCCAGGAGAACGGCCATTGGGAGCCCCCCCAGATCTCCTGTGTGCCCCGAAGGCCTGTGAGTGGCAGGGGGAGGGACATGTTGAGGTGGGGGAGGGGATCCCAGCCAACAGTAGGAGCCCTGGCCCCAGTCCCAGCTCTGTGTGTGGCCGAGTGACCTTGGGTTGGTCATGGGCTCTCACTCTAGGACAGACAGAAGGAGGTGGGCTGGCTGCGGTGGCAGTGCTCATGCCTGGAGGCACATTGTCCCACTCTAGGCTTTTTATTATTAAAAATTTATTTATTTTTATTAGAAAGGCAGATTTAGGACCTAACACGGTGGCCTAGCAGCTAAAGTCCTTGCCTTGAACATGCTGGGATACCATATAGGCGCCAGTTCTAATCCCGGCAGCCCTACTTCCCATCCAGCTCCCTGCTTGTGGCCTGGGAAAGAAGTGGAAGACGGCCCAAAGCCTTGGGTCTCTGCACCCATGTGGGAGACCTGGAGGAAGTTCCTGGCTTTGGATCGGCACAGTACCGGCCATTGCGCTCACTTGGCGAGTGAATCATCAGATAGAAGATCTTCTCTGTCTCTCTTCCTCTATGTGTATCTCACTTTGCAATAAAAATAAAATAAATCTTTTTTTTTAAAGGCAGATTTACAGAGAGAAGGCAAGAGAGAAAGAGAAAGATCTTCCACCCACTGGTTTACTTCCCAATGGTCAGAGCTGAGCAAATCCAAAGCCAGGAATTTCTTCCAAGTCTCCCATGTGGGTGCAGAGTCCCAAGGCTTTGGGCCATTCTCCAGTAATTCCCCAGGCCATAAACAGGGAGCTGGATGGAAGGTGAACAACTGGGACACAAACTGGTACCTATATGGGATGCCAGTGCTTGAAGGAAAAAGGTTAGCCAGTTAAGTGATTGCACCAGCCACCCCCCGCCCATTCCAGGTGCTTTTTTTTTTTTTTTTTTTTTTTAAGATTTATTTATTTTGGGAAGTCAGGCCAGAGCTGAGCTGATCCAAAGCTGGGAGCCAGGAGCTTTTTTATTCTCTTACATGGGTGCAGGGTCCCAAGGCTTTGAGTCATGCTCTACTGCCCTCTGAGCCCACAGAGAGCTAGATGGGAAATAGAGCAGCCGGAATACAAACCAGCATCCATATGGGATCCCTGCAGATGCAAGGCGAGGACCCTAGCCACTAGGTCATCACGCCAGACCCCCTCCAGGCTCTTAAAGCTGAGCCAGAGTCCAGTGTTTTGATGAGGTCAGGAGTCAAGGAGCAAGGACCCCAGGGGGCAGGTTTTGAGAAGGAGGGACCCACTATATGTGTCTGTCTTCCCCAGGGCCGGGATCTGCAACCCAAGAAGGCCCCAAAAGGACACCAAGGGAAGCTGCTGGGACGCTGGAAGGCGCGGTTGACCTCCCCGCCAAGGCCTGCTCCGGGTCCCTAGCAGCCAGATCTTGACCGTCCATGCGGTGGCACTGGTCTCACCTCAACTGGTCCTCACCACAGCAAGTGACAGCATGAGAGGGGTGGAGCTAAGTGACAGTGCCTGTAAGCGGCTTCTGGGACACTCCTGCAGGCTCTAGCCCAATGCGGGCCCTCTCGCCCCTCTCACCTGGCCATCAGGTCCCCCTCCCCCACTCAGGACAACTGGTCAAAGTTCCAAGTGCCTCAGCTGCCCTCTTGCCCAGCAGCCGCCGGGCCCCAGTGGCGCTGTGTCCATGTCCTTCTCGAGTCGCTGAGAGAAGGGGTCTCCAGGGGGGAGGGCGAGTAAACCAGCAGGAAATAAAGCTGCATTTGAGCCCGGACAGTAGGAGGCATCTGTGTGTGTGTGTGAGGGAGCAAGAGGCTGAGCAAGGTCTCACGGAAGAAATAAGAGCTCCTGAGCATGTTAGCATCTTGAAAGGCAAAGGAGTTGACAAGATGGCATTAGAGGGCGCAGAAGGTGAGTCCTGGGGCGGAGGGGGGGGTGCTGGGGCACCGCAGGTTGAGGTGGCATGACGCTGTTTGGAAAGAGGTGGAACATCCAGAGCAGGCAAGATCCATCCAGCTGACCTGGGTGACCTCAGGCTGCGCCAGAGAAGCCAAGGTCTCAGAGGAGAGTGGAGAGCAGGGTTGTGTGCGTGACCCGGTTCTGAGCTTCTGAGACGGGTTCTCTCAGGGAGTAAGCGTGAGGGTGACTGGAAGGCCCTGCTGGCCATACAGGTCTGTGAGAGAGACAGAAAAAGTGGGAAGAAGCAAGGGCTCAGGGGTGAGTCGCGCTGAGCTGCGCTCTGTGAACTGCAGGCTCATGTCTGTCCGGTTGGAGCCGGCAGGGGGCGCTGCGGATGCAGGCCTGTGGCTCGGAGACGGTCCTGTGCGCGTGTGTGCAAAGAGCGGCCGGAGCCGCCAGGGGGCGCCGCGGTCTTTGTGAGGAGCGCGGTGTGTGGGGGGGTTAGACAGAGGGGGAAGGCTGGCGTGGTGGGGAGGGAGGACTAGGAGGACTAGACTTCCGGTCAGGCTGAGCTGGCTATGCGGGCTGAGAGTGAGTCAGCGGAGGCTCACACGATGAGGTCACTCTAAGAAATGGCGAAAGAATGACCGTGTGTGTGTGTGTGTGTGTGTGTGTATGTGCGTGTGTGTGTGTGTGTGTGTGTGTGTGTGTGTGTGTGTGAGAGAGACAGTGCTTTAGGGAAAGTGTGTGTCAGGGTGTGGTCTCAAGCTTTCAAGATTTAATTATTTGAAAAAGGGAAGGAGCAGCAGAAGGCAGAGAGAAAATTTCCATCTGCTGGTTCACTCTCTGGATAACTGCCATGGCCAGAGCTAGGCCAGGCGGAAGCCAGGAACCAGGGGTCCCGCATAGGTGCAGGGGACCAGCCTGTGCCGCCCTCCCAGGTGCATTAGCGGAACCTTCTGGGCTGACTCCTCCCCACTAGCCACCACAACCGCACATGGGCACACTATCCTATTTCTGCCCACTTGGTTACGCCAGATTCACCCACACGGGGAAATATTTCTTTCTTTCTTTCTTTTTTTCTGAGTTGGTCAAGCCAAGGGACAGGAAAACAAATCAGAGGAGCACAATGGCTGAGAGAGATGTGGGAAGATAAAGAGAGGGTCGAAGCAAGACAGAGGCTGGCTTCAGACAGGTGCTTGCTGGGGGTGGGATGAGGCTGCAAGCTTTCCCCACCCTGTATCTAAACCTGACAGCAGCTGGTCCCGGAGGCACCAGCCCTGACCCCCAGTCCCACTAACACCACATTCCTTCCTCACCCTCCCCTCCATCCGCCCCACCCCACCTGCTCCCAGCTGTGGGGTACTGTCTCCTCTGGAGTTCTGGGGAACAGGATGATTCTGGGGTCAGAGTGGACCCCCTCTTTATCTTGAATCACTCTGTGGTTCATTCATGGAATGCATGTCCAAGGCCTACAGGGCGAGAGAGTGGAGTGAGGTGTGTCTTTGAAGCCAGGAGGAAAGGCTGGGAGGGGTGGGCTCCTGGAAGAGGCTTTAGACCTTGTGGGGTTTCACCACTTCTCCACAGGCCCCTCCTCCAGGCTTGTTCCTTTCCTCCGCTCCCCACACCTGCTGGGCCCCTCTGGCAGGGGCCGGAAACGGAAGCCTTCTCCTGGCTTTGTCAGGCTTCCTGGGGAAAGGGGCGCTGGTCCAGGGATGACTCAGCAGCGTCCAGCTCGGAACCCAAGCCCCGGCCCAGTGTGCAAGTTTGTGTGTGTGAGTGTGTGTGAGTGTGTGTATTGGGGACGTGGTAGGAGAGGGCTCACCTTGCCCTGGGGAGGGGAACCATTCTCCTCCAGGGGGAATGGACTAGGTCTGTAATCCAGTCATCCTCCCTCCCTCCCTCCCGCCAGTCCGGGAAGATGCCTAAATCCACAGCTTCATTCCCACATGCTCAGGTGTGCTGGGGACCAGACAGGCCTGGGTGACAAGTGGGGAGCCTTGATGAGGGGACTTTTCAGAGTCTCCCCATGTTTGTGAGAGTACCCAGCTTCCCCCTGGTGGCTCTGACTCACCCCTACCTCCTCATTCCTCCCCCACACCCCCTTCCCCAGTGCAGGGGGATCCCCAGCACCACCCTGACCTCCCTGTGGCCTTTGTCTATGGGCCCAGCAGAGAAAGAGCCCCATTGTCCCAGCCGCCTGCTGCTGGCCTGACACAGCAGCAGCTCACACACACTTCCAGAACTGCTCAACCCACCAAACCCCAGGCTGCTAGGGCTGGGAGGGCTGGGAGGGCTTGCCCCACCTCCAGGGGATACAGCCACAGCCTTGACAGCTGCTAGGCCCCTGGGGCCCTGCCTGCAGGCGCAGGCCTCCTTGGAGACCTAAGTCCTTCCGGAGCCTGTTCCTCCTGGGAGGGAGGAAGAGAGTGCAAGTGAGCCAACACAGAGCTGATCAGGGATGGGGGACAGGGAGGAGAGAAAAGCCAGGGTTGGAGGATGGGGGAAGGGAGAAGGATGGTTCCCACCATCCCAGCCCAGACTCGTGCTGGAGTGGGTGGCCCTGTGGCCTCTGTGTTTACTCCCGCTGCTCCTGCTTCTTCCCCGGTGTTTAGATCACAGGGTCACAGAAGGATGGCTACTGACCGCTCTGGCTGCAGTCTGTAAGGGGAGCAGCCTCCAGTGCCCTCCTCCAGCCTGTATTCTTGTAAACTCCAAAGATCGTGCCTCAGCTTCCCCACCAAAAGAAGCAGGAGCAGAGGAGGGACTGGGCTGTAGGAAAGTAAGGGGGAGACAAAGCAGTGTAGGAGGGTGTGTGGCAGGAAGGAGAACTGCGTGCCTGAGGGGCCAGTGGGGCTGGGCACGAGGGAGTCTCTTCTTAGTGGAGAAGATGGGGTCTTAGGGGACCTAGGGGGGCCAGGGCTAACTAGGCATCTCCCTGACCCTGTCATCTCCAGGCCACCCTCTTTGGGGGCCCCCCGGGACAGGAGATAGCAGCTCTGGTTTGTTAAGCAGCTGAGTCCACAGCTGTTGGAAGGGGAGTTCCTTGACAGGGGGCCTCCTGGCACCTGTCCTGGTTTATTTCGGGAGTCACAGCTGAATCCTGGGGGTAGGGAGACTAAATGGGGCTGCACGGGGTGAGGTGGTGGTGGTGGAGATTATACCTGGACAAGGAGAAGGCTGAAGGGGAGGGGAGAGGGCTCCTGGATCTGGGGACCACCCTTGTGGGACCAGAACATAGCACAGGAGGGACTTCGGCATCAGAGTCCCCAGATCAGCAGGGCTTGAGGCAGGGGCTAGGGAGGGGAACAGGAGGCAGACCCAGCATTCCTTGATGTGTTGGCCAAGAGATGGACTTGGCCCCTGTGGCAAGTAAGGGGAGCATGGCTGGTGAGGGGATTCCAGAGCAAACTGTGTGTGCCTCTGCAATTCATTCATCCTGATGGAGGGCCTGCTGTCCTTTAAGCTCCTATCCTGGAGTCTGGCTGCTGGACACTGTCACCAAGGCTTTGCAGAAACATGGGGTCCAGGCCTGTTCTTGGCCTACCTTCTCTTTTCACCTCTGGCAGACACTCCAGGCTCACTTCCATCTGTCCTGCTGCAGGACTGCCTTGGGCCTGACTTTGCCCCGTGGGGTGACACTGGGTGTCCGGCAAGCACCCAAAGGGCCCCGTTCCCGAGCCCAGAGTCCTCTTGGGTTTCCAGGGCTGTGTGCTCAGTTTCTCTCCCCCCGCCTTCCACAGAGGGTGCATTCCAGCTGAAATGAAGTCACATTCCTCCCTGGCTTCAGACAGGATGGCACTGCTGACAACAGCTGTGACACTACAGGTCAAGTGGCAGCAGCTGGTCCCCTCACCCCAGTCCCTCAACCCCAGGGGAGAGAGGCCAAGAACTAGGGGCTGTGGAAGCCGCTGTTGGCCAGCAGTGAATGGACTCTGATTCTGGTTGAGGATATGGGGAAGACAGACCTGTGGGAAGGCCAGAGGCTAGACCCCTGCAGGGGTCCCAGCCAGCCAGCAGGCTGCCTCTGGGGAGCAAAATATCCAGCATCACCTCCCGACTGCATCCTGGCAGCCACCCCGTCTCCCCACACGCTGAGGCCAGGCCAGGAGCCTTGGGAGATGCCACATTCCCCTCTCTCTTGGCCACAGCCCAATGCCAGGGCCTTTGATTTCCTCTGAAACATTGGCAGCAGCGGCAGCAGCAGGGCCAGCCTGAGGCTGGGCCGCTTAGAGTGCTCAGCCCCCTGACCTCTCCCTCCCAGGCGCCTGGGCCAGCACAACCCTATAAGGAAAGGCCCCAAACAAAGCTGGGACGCTACCTCCGGTGCACACAGCGCCAGGGAGCCCCCCCACTCCGCCTGGCTCCACCCTGTTCCGAGGCTATATTTACCCAGAGGAGGCCCCAGAATAACCCCCCTTTAGTCCTATGCCTGTGTGCGCCCTGGCAGAGGGTGGGGGACGGACGGCTGCCCTTCCTGCTCCCTGCTCTTTCCCTCCCCTGGGAGCTCTAGCCTTGGATGGACAGTATGCCCCAGCTCTGTCCTGACCTGCAGGCATTTCCCTTATAGCCAGTGGTGTTTGTTGAGCACCCATTGGTCCTCAGGTGCTGTGCTAGACTCCGAACCAAGGACCAGGCCAAGTCTTCACTCTCCCCTCAGGCTTTCTGTGGGCATGGTGTCCTCCGAGACAAACTGTCCTGTGTTTTGCCCTTACCTTTGACCGCCAGTAGCCGCTTGCCTAGCCGTTCCTCTCTGCTGGGAGCTCAGTCAGAGTCCTGGCTGGGCTCTCTCAGCATCCTACCTGCTTTCTTCCAGGCCATCTCTAGGCCAGTAGCCCCAAAATCTTGTCTCCTCATCTCCAGGCCCCGTCAGTCAACCTGCGTGCCCCAGGGTTCCATCTCTGAGAGAACTTGGCATCATCTCCCAAGTGCCCAAGCTAAAAGCCTGGAAACTTCCACCGCCCTCTGTCTCCCCAACTGTCTCCCCAAGTCCACGGACTCCACTTCCCCAGACCTCCCAGCCGTCAGCGCTGGCCTGCAGCACAGGAGGCCTGGCCTGCTGCAGCCTGCTCACACACAGCAGTGGAGGCTTTGATGTCAATTTGGACCTGAAAAGTCACTGCTACTTTCAACCCCATAGGAAGCGGCTTCCTGTTTGTTGGCTGCCTGGTGAGGCCCCATTCTGCTGCACCCTGGCTGTCTCCTCCAATCTCTGGAGAAACTTCTCTTTTGCCCACCTTTTTTGGTCCCACATTCCCCATTCCCCCTGTGTCCAAACACTCTCCTCCTGCCTTAGGCTGGGCAGACAGCTGTCCCATTGGCTCGAATGCTTGTTCACCTGTCCCACTGGCTAGCAATCCTGAAGGTGCTCGAGCAGCCTTTTCTGACTGCTCCTCCCATCCCACCAGCCCAGGCCGGGTGAGGTCCCCTGCTTTCTGCTCCCCTAATCTAGGACGCATCTCTGCTGCTAGATGGGGTTTCCAAACAACAGTCGTAGTTCAGTTAGGAGGCAGAGCTTGCTGGGCAAGGAGCTATGTTGTTTATCTCTGGACTCCCTTTGCCTACACACTTCTAGTGCCTAAGTGCTCAGGAAATGCTGTAGGCAAATGGCAGCCACCCCTTTCATCACCACCTCCTGCTATCAGCCCTGGTACCACCCACCCTCCATTTATCTTGCTGTGTGGATAGCCTAGCACCCCCAAATAGAACATGTCTCCTGTTTCAAGGCACCTTCACCCCTGTCTTAACTTCCATCGCTCCATACTGTTGGGGGGTGAATGGCAGCAGGTGACCAGTTTGGGCAATTGTGTAATAGCCCAGGGCCGGAGAGGAGGAGGCCAGGCAGCTGGGCACAGGGGCAGGACTGTTTGGCTCAGCTCTTGTTGTGAGCCCACGCCCAAGAAGTGTACCCCAGGGCTTGGGGAGTGGATCACACACAGGGCACTCCTGTCTCCGGAGAGGGGTGGGAATTGGGCTGGACTTCCCTGAATGCTAGTGTGCCGGCCTAGGCTGGACAGCCCAGCAGGATCCCACACTGCCTTGGGCATAGGAAGGAAGAACAGAGCTTGTACTGCCAGGAGGGTGGGGTGGGAGAGGCAGGATCCTGGACCCTGGGTGGGGATGGGATGTCCCTGAGACTCAGACGAGAAGGAGAGAAGCAGGGGAAGAAGCAGACAGTGAGGCTACGGGGAGTTGGCCGGAGAGCAGCAGCGAGCCGGAAGTGCCCGAAAAGCTGGAACTTCCTCCTGTCACCCATCCCCAGCCGTTGGCCTCAGTTGGGGGCTGTGGGAGGAACAGCCCTGTGGGGCCTGGGACCGTCTCCAAATGGGGTACATTTGTTTGGCAGGGTCCAGCATCCTCAACCCGGCATATTTCAAGATGTCGCCAGGTCTTCCTGCTCTGTGGAGCTCAGCTCAGGAACGATTTCTACTTTGGTCTCCTGACTTAAAGGCTGCGGGCACCACCTGATCCAGGAACCCTGGTCTCCTCCCTGCCCCATAGAGGGACCCAGACATTCCTGGGAAGGAAGGGTGGTAGAGTTGGGGGCAGTCCCCAGCCCAGCCCGCTGACAGCACACCCTGGGCTCTCTCCCCTGACAGCTTCTGTCCAACACACCCATCCCTCTCCCCTCTCTGCCACTCCTTTCCCCTCCCCCACCACTCTCCCTTCTTCCCTGCCTCCTGCTTGGGCTTCTGACAAAGTCCTGCTGAAGCCAGAAGCTGCATCCTGCAGCTCCCCAGCCTCCCTTCTGCAGGGGAGCCCCCAGTCCAGCCACCACTCCCCTCTACTTCATTGTGCAGCTGAGTCTGAGATTCAGAGAGATTCCATGCTGAGCTGAAGCCACACAGCTAGACCAGGGACAAACAGGCCTCCCTCCCCTTCCCCCGGCTCTGACCCAGCCAGGCTCAGCAGACATCACAGGCGGACAACTGTTTAGATTTGGGAATAAGGGGGCTTATTATGCTGGCGGCATGGAGGGGCCGGAGGAGGCCATGGAAAGGGCAGGGGTGGCTCTAAAGCCTGATCCCTGTAATCAGTGCTGGATGGGGGAGGGGCAGAGATGATGATGAGTGTTCCGGCTTCTCCAGTCCTGACTTAGGTCACCTGCACTGGTGTCCCCCCATCTCCACTTCAGGACAAACAGCAGTCCCCAGCCCTCACACCACCACCACCACGAGAGTTTTCCTGCATCTAATCCCCACCCGTCATCCACTGTGGCCTCCTCCCTCTACCCCAGGCAGGCTCTTCTACCTCCTCCCCACGCTCTGCTCCTGTCCCTTCCTGGTGACCCTTTGGACTGGGGAAGGACACAAGGCCAGACACTGCGGGGAGACACATCCTTTATTCAAGCTGGGATAAGCTGCAGGGTGGGATGGGGCCAAGGACAGAAGAGAGACCTTTCTTCCTCTTCATTGGGCGCAAACCACACAACCAGGGAGGGTGGTGTTGGTGCTGCAGCTTGGGGTGAGAACGGAACTGCCAGAGGAGCCCAGGCCTTTTCCAGCCTGGAGGATGGTGTGCACAGAGAGGGGGTTCTGGTGCTACGGGGGATTCTGCAAGCCTAAGGGGCAGAGTGGGCAGTATGGCCCCAGGCAGGGTCCTGGAACCTCCATTCTCATAACAGGCTCCTTTGCCAAGCCCATCACTTTCACCAGCCAGGCCTTGGAGATAAGAACCATGGGTCAGGAGATCATAAGTTAAGGGGGTTGCCCCTGAGAGGGAATGGGAGGGGACTGCAAGACATCTTAGGGCTAGAACTAGAGCACCTTCCCTAGTCCTCCCCTGAGGACCAGGAGTCTTCCTCCCCTTCCTTCTGTGTGAACTTCAGGAAAGGGCGTGGGCCCACCTGGAAAGGGACCCCCGCCCATGGTGTCTTCAGGGTGGCCCCCTCTTCCTCCTCCTCTGCTATAGGGCTGTCTCGGTCTTCGGCAGGGGCCTGACCCACTCCTGCAGGCCGCTGCAACCCATTCACCACGCCTCCATTCACCTGCTCTGACATGTCCATGTTGGAACCCTGGCCGTTGATGGCAAGGGTGTCTCCAGTGCCTGGACTTGTGTCGCCATCCCTCTGGGATGTCTCCGTGGGAACTTGGTCCTCCCCAGCCCACGGAGCAGAGTCAGACTCCTCCTCAGAGCCAGAAGGCTCAGCGCTGTCCTGAGACTTGGGGGCCTTGGCACTCCTCAAGCCATCATCATCTTGGGGGATGCCCACACCCACCGTCTCAGACTCAGACTCCAGGAAGTCCCCTCTCGGAGGGCTATGCAGGGCCTGAAGGCTGCCTGGAGGGGACCCTGGCCCCCACTGCCCAGCCCCTGGCTTCTTCCTCTCCTTCTCCTCTTCTTCCTCTCCCTCCTCCCCACTCTCTTCCTCATCTGCAAACCCATCAGACTCCCCGTCAGGATTCCAGATGGCAGCCTCCAGTAGCTGGGGCACCTGGCCAGGAGGTGCTGCTGCCTCCCTGGGAAGCCCAGGAAGAGACACCTGGGTCCCCAGATCTTCGAATTCCTCAGACAGGTCAGAGCCTCGGTCATGCTCCTCCTCCCCAGAGGGCTGGGCCTCAAGGCCCTCCGAAGCTGGAGCAGCAGTATCCCAGCCTTCCTCCTGGGCCTCACCTTGAGGGGAAGGCCTCTGCTCTCCAGCTAGGCCCCACCTGGGGGAGCTAGGGGACCCCAGGTAGAGGCCTAGTGGGGTGGAGTCAGGTAGGGTTTCTCCAAGCTCATCAGCCTCACTTCCTTCTCTACTCTCTTCACCTTCCTCCTGCAGGCTCTCAGAACTCTCCCCGGAATCTAGATCCTCCTGCTCGCCCTGCTCCTTGTGCTCCAGTCCCCAGCTGACCAGCTGGTCCCCCTCAGCCTGGGGCTGGGTCTCATGGGCACCTTCAGGGATGGAGGAGGGCACACAAGACTCTATGGGCCCAGGGATAGGGGTGTCCTCCTCAGCTGCCTCCAACTCCAGGGGCCTGGATTCAGGTGCATTGCGGTCCAAGGTATTAGCAGGGGCCTCTTCCTCTGCTGTCCAGAGTATTGGGGACTCTGAGGCCTCCTGGCCCTCCTCAGGGGACTTCTGAGGTTCTCTGCTGGCCCCCAGTGGGGAGGGCTTGGCTTGCAGAGCATCAGCCTCCTGCAGGTGCTGAGCTGGGGCTTCCAACCCTGGAACCCTCTTGGCCTCCAAACTTTCCTCCCCCAAGGATGGCTGCATTACCTCCTCTCTGGCCAGATGGTCCAGGCTATCCAGGCCCATGTCCTCCTGCTCAGTCCCCTCAGCAGATTCCCCAGTGGCTGTCTCTGACTCCAAGGTGACCTCTGGGGAGAGCTGGTCATCTTTCCACAGGGACTCTGTGGCCTCTGCTATTGCCTGGGGTGCACTAAGGCCTTGGGCTCCCAGATGCTCTACTTGCCCCTCAGGGTCCTGCAGACCCTCAGGGCCTCCCATCCCACAAGCTCTGCTAGCTAGGATGCTTTGCTCCCTGGGCTCAGGGCTCCCAGGCTGCTCTGCAACGAGCTCCTCAGCATGTAGCTGTAGCTCTGTTGACATCACAGCCTCCTCCTGCCCATCAGAGCCCTCGAGCTGCCTGGGATCCAGCTCAGCCTCCTCCTCCCCAATTATCGCCTCCAAGACATTACCCCAGTTCTGCTCATCTGCCAATGGTGGTGGCTTTTGCCATTCCTCTGCCAGCTGCCACAGTGGAGTCTCCACCTGCTCCTCAGCTTTCTCCTCTTCTTCCATCCCTGCCACATCTCTCTGACTTTCCTCATCCTCCTCTTCCTTCTCCGGGCAACCCTCCCCCGGAGATCTCAGTGTTTCTTGGTCCCTGTCTTTCAGGGTTTGCAGCGCCTCTGGGTGCCCTTCCACCGGCCCCAAGGGTTCTAGTGCAAGCGGTGTTGCTTCCAGGGACCACAGTGGCACCTCTGGAGACTTCAGTACTTGCAGGCCCTCTTCGGCCAACTTCGGTGGCTCCAGGTCCTCTGGTTCTGAAGACTCCCCAGCTTTGGCAGGCTCATCTTCCTGTGACTCTGAGAACTCTGTAATCTCTTCTTCAGGTCTAACCTCCTCCTGATCTGCACCAAGACACGGCAGAGGTTCTGGACCCACCTTTTCCACAGGCGTCAGGGTCTCCTCTAGAGCCCTCCATGACTGCAAAGTTTCGTTTTCTAGACCTCCCAGGGCCACCTGCTTCTCTTCCTCTCCCAACCTCAGTACCTCTTGATTCTCCTCTCCTGGAGCTTCCAGGACTGCCTGGTCCTCTTCCTCCCCCAGCCTCAGGGGCTCCTGGAGCTCTCTTTCTAGTGCTGTCACAATCTTCTGGCCCTCTTCTTTTGCATCTGGGTTCTGTTTCTCTAGAGCTCCCAGAGCCTCCTGCTCCTCTTCCTCCCCTAACCTCAGGGGTTCATGGGGTTCTCTTCCCAGGGGTCTAAGCACCTCTGGGTTTTCATCTTCAGAAGACCCCAGGGACTCCCCAGTCTCCTCCCCTGGAGCCATCCGTGCCTGCTGGTCTTGTGCTTCTTCAGGTCTCAGTGGCTCCCAAGTCCCATCTTCTGTGGTTCTCGGCACCTCCACTTCCTCCCCTTTGGGAGACAGCACCAACTCCCCATTTTCCTTTCCTGGAAATATAAGGGTCTCTAGGTTAGTGTCCAGAGACACTGTCAATCCTTGGTCCTCCCTTGCCGGGGACGGCAGGGTCTGTGGATCCTCCTTCCGTGCAGCCTGAAGCAGTGCAGGACACTCCTCTCCCATCAGCCCCTCTGCCTCTGGGTCCTTTTCTGCTCTGTGTTCCAGGGGCTCTGAGCTCTCTGCTTTGGGACTGTCTAATGTGTCTAAGCTGCCTTCTTTCAGAGATCTCAGAGGCTCCTGATTCTCCTGCTCCAGTATCTGCTGGCTCTGGTTTGTTAGAGGTACCCATGGCTTCATAATCTCCTCTCCCAGAGCTTTTGGGCTGGCTTTATCCAGAGGACTCTGAGAGTCCTCAGTTTCCTCCATGGCCAGGGCACCATCTTGCTCTGTTTCCTGCTGTAATTTGCTTGCCACCTTGACCTCCATGGCAGTTTCCTCCTCAACCAGTTCAGCAAGGTGCCCTTCTTCTTCCTCCTGGAATATGCTGTCCACCCTAGACCCACTGGGCTCTCTGTCTTTAGCATCTGAACTTGGCTGCTCAGGGCTGAGTGGTAGGGCTTGATTCTCAGGAACCTGGCTGGAACTGGGTTCTGGCTGTTCACCCCCAGGCTCCTCTGGCCCTGGCAGGATGTTTGCAGGGGTGGACGTCTTGGCTTCAGCCCACAGGGGCTGGGCAGCCTGTTGCCTCCCATCCTGTGGTGGGAGCGTAGAGACAGGGTCATCTGGGGCTCTAAGCTCTGTCTTGGATGCAGCACAAGGGGGCTGCGGAACAGGTGGGATGGGAGTGCTAGCCAAGGTGGGTGCTCTGGGCTGAAGAAATTCCTGGCTCTTCAGAAAGGCAGGTACAGGGGTTTCAAGGGGATCAGGCAGAGGGGAGGGAAGGGGTGCTGGGCTCAGAACAGGAAGCACAGGTCCCACACGTCGGCTGTCTGGTGTCCCAGGAAAATGCAGCTCCAGCTTGGGGTCTGGAAAGGTAGAGAGGGAAGAAGCAGTGTCAGTCTGTCCTGGCAGTGGGAAGAGCTACAGCATTGGGGGCCCCCCCACTTCTGACAATAGTGTCCATGAGCCCTCCCTGGCTCCCTTTAGTTGGACTGGGGATATGTTCACCAATGCAGGGGGTGGAAAGCAAGGAGTTAAGGCACAAATAGGTGCCTATGGTCTGGGGCGAGAACAACAAAGACGGGTAGAGTTGCAGGTGAACCTGGCCACCCCCTCTTACCATGGAAGCTGAGGAGAACCTTGGAATTGCAGCCAGGTGTCTGTAGCCGGGAGTTCTCAGCCTCTAGGAGGGTCCTGGGATAAGGGAGGAAAGCCCTGGTTGGTCCTCTGCCTTGGGAACCTTGCAGGCAGGGAGCCAGAAGGCCACAGCTCACAGCCGAGCTGGTTCACCTCCCCCTCTGTGTTTTGGCTATTGTCACACAAACGTTGCACACAGGGTCACACAGCACAGGCATCACACACTTGGGATACACAGAGGACCTCACACAAGCAGATTCCCATGCAGCCAGACACAGTGCTATGCCCACAGGCACTGATGCCTCCCCCTCCCCATTCCCACCAAGGGACCAATGACCTCATCCTTGGGGGTGGGGGCTCATTCTCATGCTAACAAATGCCTTTGTGTTCACGCAGCCATCTGGAGGGGCTACGAAGGGGGCTTCCTGGGGAAAGTGGGAATTCTTGGCCGTTCCCATGGGATGGGCCCCTTCCCCCTCCTCTGGGGCTTTTCCCCCTAGAGCTGGCCACAGACAAAAGGAAATGAATTCAGCTCCATGCTCTCCAAATCCTTTTCATGCCCCATAAGCCAGCGGTCGAAATTCCAAGGGGCCTCCCCTCCGTGGTTTTGCTGGGTTAGGGGGATCCCTAGCCCCTGGGGACATGGAGGCCTTTGTGTTCTTGTCCTCGGGGAGGGGACCAATGAATCTCCGGCTAAGTGCAGGGAGGGCCTGCCCGATTCCTCCCACCAGCTGGGTCTGGTTGGTGCTTGCCTGCCACTCTAGGGCTGGAGGTGAGGGAGTGCATGCTGCCAGGCCCCCATACTTTGCAAGGCACACAGCCCCTGCCTGGCCTCTGGATTGGGCTCTGAGTCCATGACAACATGTATTGGTCTTTCCTGGAGCAACAGGAAATGTGCTCAGCGAAGGCACTGGGCAGAGCCAAGGACACTAGGGCTTGAAAAGATCCAGGCTCCAAGAAGTTCAGGCTGGGAGAAGGTCTCAGAGGTCACCCAGTGTGGGCCGTAGTCACTAGGCAAGGGTGAGGCCAGGGAGAAAGCAGTCAGTGTCATGGCTGCTCTTGGGAGAGAGCTCCTTCCGAGGCATGCAGAGCACCCCTAGTGGAAGGGGGAGATGCAGGGAGATGCAGGTGCCACTTTACTGGAGGCCACCCCACTCAGCCGCATCATCTCTGCTTGTGGCATCTGGCTGGGTGCCAGACACTTCTTGGCTCCTGAACCCATCAAGGCGCAAGTGCACATGGGTTGGGGCATGTATTGGTATAGAAGTGACAGGTCTCGAGTCACAGAACCCAGCAAGGGCACAGCTGCCCCCACCAGCCCCTTTGGGTCCCTTCAGTAAAGGGGTCTCTGCCTCGATATGTATATGCACATATGTGGGTCAGGGCCACCCCTACCTGTATGTGGCCACCTCCAAGCTGAGGGACATCTTGAGATGGGCCAGCTGCTGCCGACCTTCCAGGATCTGGGCGATCTGACTTTGTAGGCCCTGCTTTTCCTGCTCCAAGGCCTCCACGGCAAGCTGCAGGGCAAGCCAGAGGAAGTCCATGAAAGGTCCCACCCCCACCATTCAGCTTCTCACCTGCCCCTTCTGACCTCCAACCTCCAACCTCCAGGGGAGCCCCAGCTGGGCTGGCTGAGCTCAGCACAGGGCCCCTCTTTCCCCTAGCCTGGCTCCCCCTCCCTTGGAGGAAGCTGATGAACTGGTTGCACATGTTGCTTAGAACTCAACTCTCCCACAGGAAGAGGGAAGAAAGGGAGGGCAGGAGATGGTTTACAGAGCAGAGGGGAAAGGAAAAAAAAAAATGGAGACAGAAGGAAAAACGATTCATCAAGAAGCCTGGAGGCTGCAGTAGGACTGGAAGCCAAACAGCCTCAGCCCCCATCACCAGGCCCCCACCCGACTACTTCCCACATGTTCTGGAATCTTTCTCTTCTGAAAAGAGCGAGGGGGGCCATCATAGCAGCAGCGGCGAGACTTGTGTCTGGCCCACGCAAGAAGCTGTTTTCTCAGCTGTTGGTTACATCTATGCGGGGTGAGGGGGAGCAGCTGTCCCAGGCCTCTGGAATGTGCTCCCAAGAGCCCAGCAACCCAGACAAGGGAGAGGGGCCACTGGGCACAGAGCCAGGCCCCTGGGCGCTCCAGTGGAGAGGGAAGGGATGCAGGACCTTGGGGATGGGAAGTCGAACCCAGGGTGGTGGGCTGAGGGGGTGTGCCCGGTGTCTTCCGAACGGTCTCACACAACCCCGGGACGGGAGGGTTGCTGCAAAGGGTCGTGGGCCTGCCTGCCCATCTGAAAATATGCGCACACGGAGACAGGCACACCTTCCCATCGAAACGGGCCAAATCTGGCTGTGGCTTTGCTGAGAATCCGCTCCGGCAATCAGTTACTCGTTTCCCAGAAGGTGCCTAAGCCTCCTGCTTGGGAGGCCCTAGAGGCTGGCCTCCATGCAGGGCCCCGTGTCCTGCTCACCTGGAAGTTTTCAGTGGCGCGCAGGCGCTCCTGCCAGCGGCCCTCCAACCTCTGTTCCAATGCCGCCCTGCGCTCCTGGAGGCCGCCACGCTCGGCCTGCAGCTGCTGCAGCTCCAGGCGGCTGTCGCGGACACCCTGCACCGCACGGCCTAACCTCTCGCGGGCCTGGCCCAGGGACGTCTCCATGTGCGCCACGCGCTCCTGGTAGCCGCGCACAGCTCCGCGCCACGCCTCGCCCAGCCGCTGGGCCAGCTCCTCCACCTCGGGCGCTGGTGCTGGGGGCGCGCGGGGCGGCGCGGGGCCCCGGGGGACGCAGGTGGCCCGCGCATTCAGGTTGGCGCACTCCTCCTCGTGCGCGGCGCGCAGAGCCTCCAGCTCGCGCTCCAGCTCGGCCACCTGCGAGCTCAGCCAGCCCCGCGCGCACTTCTCCGCCTCGACGGTTCTCCGGCTGCGAGCTACCTCCTCGGTAGTGCGTTCCCGGGCCAGCCGCAGCTGCTGGCACCGGCCTGCCACGCCCTCCAGCTCTTCGGCCAGATTGTCGCGCGCCACCTCGGCTGCGTACTTCTCTCGCCAGCGCTGGTCAACTAGGGCACGCAGGGCCGCCAGCTCGTCGTCGGCGCGCGCTCTCCAGGAGTCACCGGCCTGTGCCCGGAGACCCCCGAGCTCCGCGCTGAGCAACTCATTCTGCTCCTCGAGCGCCTTGACCCTTGCCAGGTAGGCCTCCAGGCGCCGATTGAGCTCCCACAACTGAAAGGATTCCTCTCCCATGCAGCCCTCCATCCTGCTCATCGGACCCGCTGAAGGGCGGATAGACGGTACGGGAGAAGGGAGCGGCCCTCAGACCGGAAAAGAAAAGAAGAAAGAAGGGGACAATGACAGGGCGGGGCGGGGAGCAGCCCAGCGACTGGGAGTCTACAGTGGGAGCGGGCGCTATTCATACTCCCGCCGGCAGCGGAAAGGGGGGCGGGTCCAAGGCCTTAACCCCTTAGAGCTCAGCGAGGGGCGCTCTCTCCCGTGCCTGAGGGCAGTGCAGAGTGGAACTGCGTAGGGGCACCTTGCAGCGGGGGACCCTAGGCGCTGGTGGTGGCTTTCTCCGGGGAAGAGACTGTCAAAAAGAATCGCTGCCAAGAGAAGCGGAGCCTATGGGGGGCTGCTGGGGCCAGAGCTCGCGTCTCAGCTACTGCCCACGCCGGAAAGAGTGGTCATTTGCTGAATTCTCTTAAGACTCAGTTTCTTCATCCGTAAACTGGGAGGGGCGGGGGGGGGGGGACAGTCTCATGGGATGCTGGAAGGATGTGGCCTTGTATAAATAGTAAATGCTTCCCCCCGGGAGGCAGACTACAAGAACACAACTCTAATCTGGGTACACACACACACACACACACACACTACTGCCTGGTCTCTATCAGGAACCGGAGAAGCCAGATACAGGGAACGCATGGAGTGGACTTGGGGGTGTGCTTCGCACTTTTCACCTCCGTGCTTCCTACGGCCCCTTCCCATAACCCACTCTGGGAAGTTGTCCCCAGTTCTCAGGGAAGGCTGCCCCCAGCTTGTCCCAGTGTCAGTTTGGGGGGGGGGGGGTGTTAATTATTATTATTGAGCAGATAGCACCCCCTGGTGGCACACGATCAGAGCAAGAAGTGTGATGATGTGATGGTGAGCCGTTGCTCTCATAGCGTACTTACAGGAGCTGACTTAACCTTCCAAACAGCTCCCCCACCCCCAGGATCCTGCAGTTGGGGCTTTAAGGAGCCCACGAAGGTCCAGCGGGATCTAGGTGGGGTAAGTGAAAGGAAGGCTAAGTAGAGTGTGGGAAGGGGACTTCTCAGGGATCATGAAGGGGAGGGGTCTTTGGGAGGGAGATGCTTAGTATCCAAGACCCCCTGGGATCCTTGGAGGGCGTCCACTGAGTGGTGGGTGGCACTGAAGTGGAAAGTTTCTCTCCTGGTCTCTTGGCCAGGAGAGGAGAGACATGGCATGGGAGTCTCAGGCAGAGCAGTGGGCTTGCCTTTGACCTTGGGCAAGCCACACAACTTGGGGAAAGGAGCTTTGGTCTGCCTAGTTCGTGAAGTGAGTAAGGACCTGCTTGGCCCATGAGTCTGATCAGAGCACAGGTGAACAGGGAAGCCTTGGTACTCAACTTTGCATGAAAGTTGCTCCCTAGCAGCTGGGAGATCATGAGGCGCATAGATGTTCCAGATGGCAGGGCCACTGACTGGCATTGCCTCACCCAACAACAGCATAAGGGAGAGTAGAGATCAGCCAAAGAGTGGAGCACATCCAATGAAGAAAAATGGGGGTCATGGTAGCTCACACCTTGCTGGGGACCCTTGCTATAAAGTGGCTGCCCAGATTAATGAAGAAAAAAAAAAAAAGCTGGAGGTGATGAGCAGATGCAAGGTGCCCAGTTCCAGTCCCAACCGACGCCCAGATCCTGCACCCCAACATGGCCAGACCTGCCCCCACCCATTCCAATCCCCGGAGAAGCCCCAGCTCCACCCGCCCACCAGCCCAGCCTTACCCTAGCCCAGCCTAAGCCTTGTTCAGCCGCTGTCCAACCTCCCATACCATTTTCAACTCTTTTCCCAGCCTGGCCACTGCCACAGATGAGCTCATCCACACCCTAACTCAGTCCTGGCCAGACTTACCCAGCCCTGCGCCTAGCCAAACCTCAGCCAGTGTAGCCAAGTCTTGCACAAGCCATTCCCCAACACAGAGGAACCAAGCACAGCTCTAGACACAATCACATCTTAGTGCAGCCGGTCAGCCCCAGCCAGGCCCAGCCACAGACAAGAACCATCCCAGCACCGCCCAAACACCGCCGCATACCACCCCAGAAGAGGCCCAGACCAAACTTTCCTAGGCCAGGTCAGCCCATCCCCAACACGATTTGAAACACAGTCAAAGCCCAGGCTTGGCCACTGCCGGCCAATCACCCAGACCAATCAAGGCAAACCAAGAGTCAACCATCCCCACCTCAGACAGACAAGAGCCAATCACACTTGAGAAATTGACAGGATCAGCACAACAAAAACACACCACACCTCGAGGCCTAATCCGAACCCAGCGCAGTCAAGCCAAGCCTAGGCAGAGTAATAGCACAGGCCAAGGTCCAAATGCCCAAGTGCATCCCAGCAAAACCCTAGTAGAGAACAAAACTAGCCAAGGCCATACCAACACAAACCTGTCCAAGCCATGCACGTCAATAATTCCTGGTGAGATGGGGTGTGAAAGGACAAGAAAGGGAACAACATGGAGGATAGGGGAGAAACAGGAAAAAAGAGACAAAGGGGAAGAGAGAGAGGGAGGTGGCACACGTGGAGGCTCACTTATACAAAACAGGTGAACCTGCAAGGTTGCGTGTAAGGGAGAGGAGCGGAGCCTCGACAATTGGTTGGAGTTCTCCCAGGGATTGGCGACTGAGATTGTAAGAGCTTAGAATAACCGCTTGATTTTGCTTCTGTATATTGCTTTCTGCTGAGCAAGAGTAGAGCCATGTTGGAATAAATATAGAAAAGTTATTTCATGAAGCAAGCAAAAGTTTCAGTTTCCCAGACATGAACAAGGCAGCTGCAGGAATAAAAGAGATAAAGTAGCAAGGCCGGAGCAGCAAGGCCAACACAAGAATGTAGTGGATAAGAAAGGGAGGCACAACAGTCTGAGAAAGTGCAGACTGTTATGCCAAGCCAAGGGAGCCCTGGCGCTGTCTAATCTTAAAGTAAAATGCTAGCTGTTATGCGAAGTTTGCGGTTTTGTCCTTTAAAAAGGTGCTTTAACCTGCTTGGGGCGCGCAGAGTCCTGGGTGCCTCCAGATTACTCTGTTGCCCATTCGCGAATGCTCAATAAAATCCTCACGCTTTTTACAGCCTCTGCTTTATGACTTGTCTTGCCGAACGGAGTGGCTCCCCTTCCACGGGGTTGGACTCTCCCCGAGTCTAACAAGATGATCTGAGCCACAGCTGAGTGGGGGGGGACCAGGGGGAGGAGCCGCTGGGATTCTCAGGTGAGACATGCAGCGGTTCCATCTCATTGGCGGATAACCAGAAAGGAACGAATTTTGCGAGCTGTGGGAAAGGGAAAGCAGGAAGTGATGCCAGGGTCGGGATGGCATGTTTGAAGGACTCTCACGAAGGCCATCCCAGCTGCAGCCCTGACCAGCGGTGGCCAGGCCTGGCAAGACCCTGGCCCCGCCCAAACCCAGCCCAGACAACCTTGTCTCAGCCCAGCCCTAAACCAAGCCACTGTCAGTCCTAGCCCTGCCCACCCGCAGGCCCCGCCCAGCCCTGCCCCAGCACAGTGTAACCCAGCCTTGCCCCTGTCCATCCCACCTTCAGTCCTGCCCCAGCCAGTCCGAAGCCCAATCCCAGCCCCAGTCCCTGCCCAAATCCAGCCCCCCAACCGTCCAACACCCAGCCCTGCTCCAGGCAAGCCCCAGCCCAAACCCATTTCCTCCTAAGCCCTACCCCGGCCCAGCCCCCAGCTATTTCAACCCCAGCTATTTCCAGTTTCGCCCCTCTCCAGTCCTGCCCAGGACCCTCCCCCCAAACTTCTTTTTTTTTTTTTAAAGATTTATTTTTATTATTTTTGTTATTGGAAAGGTGGATGTACAGAGAGGAGAGACAGAGAGGAAGATCTTCCGTCCGATGATTCACTCCCCAAGTGAGCCGCAACGGCCGATACTATGCCGATCCGAAGCCAGGAGCCTCTTCCGGGTCTCCCACGCGGGTGCAGGTTCCCAAAGCTTTGGGCCGTCCTCGACTGCTTTCCCAGGCCACAGGCAGGGAGCTGGAAGGGAAGCGGGGCTGCCGGGATTAGAACCGGCGCCCATATGGGATCCCGGGCGTGCAAGGCGAGGACCTTTAACCACTTGCGCCACCGCGCCGGGCCCCCCCCCCCCAAACTTCTTTGTAGTCCTCCCCCTCCTCAGCCCATTCCTGCTCCACCCCAGCAGGGGAGGAGCCGCTGGGATTCTCAGGTGAGACATGCAGCGGTTCCATCTCATTGGCGGATAACCAGAAAGGAACGAATTTTGCAGGCTGTGGGAAAGGGAAAGCAGGAAGTGATGCCAGGGTCGGGATGGCATGTTTGAAGGACTCTCACGAAGGCCATCCCAGCTGCAGCCCTGACCAGCGGTGGCCAGGCCTGGCAAGACCCTGGCCCCGCCCAAACCCAGCCCAGACAACCTTGTCTCAGCCCAGCCCTAAACCAAGCCACTGTCAGTCCTAGCCCTGCCCACCCGCAGGCCCCGCCCAGCCCTGCCCCAGCACAGTGTAACCCAGCCTTGCCCCTGTCCATCCCATCTTCAGCCCTGCCCCAGCCCATCCCAAGCCCAATCCCAGCCCCAGTCCCTGCCCTAACCCAGCCCCAACCCACACCCAGCCCTGCTCCAGGCAAGCCCCAGCCCGAACCCAGTTCCACCTAAGCCCAACCCCTGCCCAGCCCTTCCCCAGTCCAGCCTAGGCCCCAGCCAAGCCCCTCCCCACTCCAGCCCAAACCCCAGTCCAGACCCGCCCATGCCCAGCCCCAGCTCCTCCCCAGCCCAACCCATCGCCAGCCCAGCCCAGGCCCCAGCCAAGCCCCTCCCCACTCCAGCACAAGCCCCACTCCAGCCCCTCCCAAGCCCAGCCCCACCTTCTCCCCAGCCAAGCCCCTCCCCAGTCCAGCCCAAACCCAGCTCCAGTCCCTCACCAGCCCAGCCACAACTCCTCCACAGACAAGCCCCTCCCATGTCCAGCCCCAGCACCAGTCCGTCCCGGGTCAGCCTCATCCCAGCGGCAGCCCCGCCCAGCCACAGCCCAGTCCAGTCCTGCCCCACGGCACAGCCAAAACCCCAGCACAGCCTCAGCCCAGACCCTGTCCACCCCCCGTGCCTGCCCATCCCCAACCCT